TTATATTTACAAAATGGTTTAGAATGTTGGTATTGTGAAAGCGTTTGTAGATTAGTTGGTGTTGAATTTAGAGACAAATTATTTGTTAAGATTGATTTTATAGTTGGGAATTTTATCCGAATAATTCTAGCATCAATTTACGGTGATAGTTGCTAGCAGGGACAAATAAGCATATCGATGTTGAAAGATTCCGAATATTTGACTGTTTATATACCCAATGTGGGATGGTATCATGATTAACAGGTAATGGGCTTAATAGGTAACCTCAAGGTCAGATAGTGTCATGTTGGGAAAGGAAGAAGCAATGGGAAAAGAGAGGATTGTATGATTGTTTGTTAGCTACATTGGTTTTACGTAAAAAACAATCAAAAGACAAATACGTGGTAAAGCTATCTCTCTCACTGATACACACAGAGGTCATATGACAAAAAATAAATTTTAACAAAGATAAAATTGTGAGGCTTAGCTTTCTCGGCCTAACCGTCAATGATATAATTCTCAGTTCATGTGAATAATTTTATCACAAAATTTCGGATTTCCTAATAGCTGGATGATAAAAAGAAAACGAATTATTTGATTAAATAATTTTTGCTAGTAAAATTTACATCAATTGAAATGAAATTTTGTTTTGTAGCTTGGACATGTGTGCCATGTCAGAACACCAAATGTGTGGATAAAGAGCCAAGGTAAGCCTGACACTTTTAATTGTTTTTATTCTTTTGTTATTTCTAAAATAAATTTAACTTATATAAGAAATGTTACAAATGATTATCAGTACGATTGGTAGTTGGATTACAATAATAAGTATTTGTTATACAAAAAAATTCATTTAATTGTTTCATTTTAAAATTCGACCGATATTACAGAAAAATAAAATTTTCAAGATTAACAAAAAAAATTGTTAATTTTTTTCATTTTGAAATTCAGTAGAAATGAAATTTTAAGAAATTTTAAGCGGATATGCTTATGATAGAAATGAAATTTTATGTGTTAAAATTTAAATTATCATATTTTTTCGAATTAAAATTTTGATAAAAATATAATTCTAGTGTTCGGTGCTCTTTTGATCCATTAATTTCGATAAAATACGGTGAAACAGCTCCACCAATATCATTATGCAAAAAATGTGCTGAAATGGTGGAAAGTGATGATAAAATAACAACGATACCAATTTGTATGCCAATGTCCGCCTCAAGCAATATTGTCTGTCAAAATAAGGTAAGTAAAATTTACTTCTTTTAACTATGAATGTTACAATTATCTTTTTCAGATTTTGTTTGTTCCAATTTAAACATTTATTTAATTAATTTTACTTTACCACTAATTACTGCTTATTTTATTTCACTTTTTCAAATTTATTAAAATTATTAATAATTTTATGAAATTTTACTGCAACATTTCACATAACTTGTAGGGTTGTGAATCATCGAAGCGCCTTGCTGTAGGAATATGTTTTTCGGAAGATTGTATCCGATCACACCAATATGTTCCATTAAGACTTTGTCAGGTATTTTTAATTTAATAAAATTTACAAATTTAAAGTTGCAAAACTATTTTAATTAATTTTAATTACAAATCAGTTTTTTAAATTTTAAATTCAAATCATCATAACTTTATGTTTTCAAATTATGATAACTGAAAATTAAAATTAATAACACAGGTATATTTCCAAATTCAGGAATGTCTTGTTGCACTGCACACTGCTAATAGTAAGGAACATATCAATCATTGTGGTGTGAAATATGCATGGGGAACAGCGATTGAACGAGATATCATTGAAGCGATTGTTAAACTTTTGAAAGAAACTTCTGCTAATTTAGAAGGTCTTTTCAAATTGTAATTGAATTCATTTCAACAAAATTTCTCATCACAATTTTGTTTTTAATAAATTTTTAAATGATTTTCTTTTGAATATTACATTTTCAATTGTTTATATTAAGTGTTAAATTTGATAAAGTTAAATTATTTAAAATATTTAACATTGTGTCATCTTTCACAAGGCTATATTCAATATTTCAGTTGTTTCCTAAAAACGACACAATCACTGGGCAAATTTTATCTGTCAATTAAAAGAAAAAAAAAATTAAATTTACAAAAGTCAAACAAAAATGTTTAATGATAATTTAAAGAGCTTTAATATACTATAAAGTAAAATAATGATAAAATTGATTTTTTTTTTTTTTTAAAAGGATCGCAAACTGAGGGTAAAAGGCCGAAATGGTTACGACAGTTGGAAGGTGGTCATACACTTGGTCGTGAAATCGATAAAATGGCTGATGAACGGCGAACATTGAGCCGTTTTGGTATTTGGCTTCTTGCAACAATTTGTCCACCAGTGCCAGAAGCTAGGCCGGTTTGTTCCTGATTTCATGAGGCAATAAATTGAATATAACTAAATTAAACGAAACACGACTTAAAGTGATCTTTGATCTGGATTAACTTAAAATAAGTAATAAAAGTTTTTAAAATATTTTTCAATTTAAAAAAAAAAAACAATCGAGTAAATTTTGTTTATTAAATTAATAAATGAGTTTGTTAAAAAAGGAAAAAAAATTATCGAATTCGACTTTTTTTTTCTTTTATATAGCAAGCGATAGCCTATATGATGTCAATGCTGTTGGAATGGTTTGCAACAACCGCTCTATTACCCAATGATTCGATTGGTGCTGCATTGGAGCAGCTCAAAACTGATGTATATAACTTTTTAATCACTTACATCAATTCATTCTTATCATTTCCATTACTTAACTTTTCATTCAATATACTATTTCTCAAACGGAATGAGTAGTAGAGAGAGAATACAGTTAATTAGCAAAGAAAAGAAGAAATTTGCATAGGTCAAATTAACAGTAAAAGTCAAATAAGTTAAGTATCATAAGTTAAATGAACGTAAGATGATAAGATGCTAATCTTGCATAATTAGCTCTAGTCTATTAAAAAATTCCTATAAATACTAGATATCATGCCAATGATAAATTGTCAATTGATTGATGAATTTCTAATTAAAACAAACAGGTATATGAATTAGAAATCTCAAGGGGAAAAAAAAAACTTTAACTTACATTAGATCAATAAAGTTCAGAAGTATCATAGCTGCATAGATAATGGTATTGATCCTTTATTAGTATAGAAATTTGATAATGTGTTATTTGATATCATATATAATTAATCATTTTGTGAAGAATTTCCATTTCATATTTGCAAAAAACGACACAATATAATGGAAAAAGAAATGATAAAGGAAGAAAGAGAAAGAGAGAGAGAGAGAGGGAGAGAGAGAGGGAGAGAGAG